TTTTGGTTGCTCAGGCAAATACAAACATGTATAATAACTTTTAATACTTACTTCTACCTAGACAGAAAAGCTAACTTGTGAACATTGTTGAATTTTGTAGATTTACAAATTGTGACCTAACAATTTCTTGATATCTGGCTTGTCTTACCATGTACATGCTCTCTGTCACCTTGACCTAGGCCTGTTCCATACTATTCAATATTATTAGCCGGTAATATGGTAATACACTTTACTATATGGATTATATTTTATTTGTTAATTTAGCTTTTGCATGTTGAGTCTTAGTCATATCCTGGATTCTGCCATATTGTTCTGTATAGATTCAAAGGTGGGAGGGGCTTGTGGAGTCGAAGTCCTGGATGTGGGCCTTAAATCTTTAATCATCCTTAAATCTAGATAGTGAGGGGGACAAGGGGATATTAGTGTTTAATAGTTTTTTTTACTTTTACTCTCCCTATTAAGATTGCACAGTTATTACGTCACAATTAGAGTTGAGTGAACCCGGACTGTAAAGTTCGGGTTCGTACTGAACATTACATATTTTGGACCCTGGACCCGAACACGGACATATCACTGTATGTTCGGGTTGGAGTTCGGTGTTCAGCGATTTAATGGAGCGTTTTCAAAGGCTGCAGGGCAGCCAATCAACAAGCGTTTGAGTTGTGTGCATGGCTGTGTTTGGCCAGTGCAGCATGTACATGAGTTCTTATTACTGTAGGGAGAGGATGCTGCCGCTTTCAGGGACAGATTAGGAAAGAATTCTGCAAACTAGTACATTAGTGGGGTGCACTTCATATCTCGGAGTCAAACAGAAGCGTCAAATACTGCGGTTACATCGGAGTTTTAAAAAGTCATTTTTTTTGGTGCTAAAAAGTACATTAGTGGGATGCTCTTCATATCTGAGAGTAAAATCAAAGCGTCAAATAGTGCACTTACAGCGCAGTTGTAAACATTCTTATTTTCTGGGTGCTAATGTGCTAAATAGTACATTTTGGGCGTGCTCTTCATATCTGAGAGTAAAATCGAAGCGTCAAATAGTGCACTTACAGCGCAGTTGTAAACATTCTTATTTTCTGGATGCTAATCTGCTAAATAGTACATTTTGGGGCCTGCTCTTCATATCTGAGAGTCAAATAGAAGCGTCAAAGAGTGCACCACAAGACAACGAACAGACTAAACACGCGCCACCGACAACAAACTGGCATAACCCCGCCGAGGGAAACAGACAGCACACAACAGATAAAGTAAAGATGGAACCCGGACACCCCCTTCCTGCCAAGACAAGCTACAAGCAACCCCAAAACAGAGAGGCCCAACTACAATGGACACCGACAAGGAAGGAGCTCACACCACACCCCCACATTAAGCCCCCACAGCTAAGACCGGAACCCCACAGAAAACACCCACCACAACTAGTTCCACACCCCCACTCCCCAGTACAACCCTAAAAACACACACAACCGACCCACGGAACCAAACCCCGATCACCCATCCCCCACCCATGACAACAAACATCAGCGACGGTAAGATGACGCGACCTGACGCTGTACACGACCACAAAACACACAATATCCCCATGTTACGGTACCTCCAGTAATAAAATGCCCAAACCGCCGTTTAGTGAATGTTCCCCGTTCGCAATAATGTGGTCTGGTAGCATGTATAGTAAAACCATGTGAACCGCCAGCTAGGGAACACTACAAACTCTCGAACGGTACCTGTACGGCTCTTTCCCTTCACGAGCTCCAAATCCACGAACTGCCAAGATTAACCGAACGCCAATATCTTCCAAGCGGCAAATAATTCCAATAAGCAGTCTCTAGGCGCCGGTAATAAAATCCTCCCAATAACGAGACCAAGCTCCGCTTTGAGGGTAAAACACGAACTGATTTACTGTGGGCTACCTGCCCGGTATTTATGCAGGTCTCCCACTTGGTGGACACTCCCCTAGGGGACCAAATGGGAGACTGAAATGACAGAAGGACATGGGGACATTTTGGACATACATCCCCACAATATTCCCAGCATGCATCACAGTTCCCTCCCCTCTGCTCGGGAGATAATTGGGAAGTAATTCAATTATCTCCCAGAGCAGAGGCAAATCGCCATTTTAAATACAAGTCATAAAACACATAAAAATCTATAACTTTATAACTGCCGAACATATTGCATTCGTGTAACACATCCCCAGATAGCCTGGATCTGAGTGCATATTATTGGCGAATAGCGCTCAGATCCCATTCGCATAGTTCAATCGCCATGGAGTCAAAGTCTATTACAGTTCTTCGGTATGCGATTGACTCCATGGGAAGGCTATCTGGGTTAAGTCCATTCGTGTTGTTGAATCTCCCGAACGGCCGGCATTCGTATGCTTTTGTCGATTGAGAAGGGGAGGTCGACGGCTTCAGCGGTGTTCGGTTGAAAAAGTGTCCGTTTTCAGTTCCATGAAATAACCGTCGAACACCGTTGGTCTTTCGCATGGTTAAAATGGCCGCCGCCTCGTGGTCGACATACTAACGACGACCACCTGGTATTCGGTTTAAATTGAGAAGTGTCTGTGGTTAACCGCAACATTCTAATTAGGATCAATAGGTTAACCAGCAGCACACTTCTCTTCTGGGTGGCCGTCCGTTCGGTAGTTCCGTTCGACAAAAACCGGCGTTCCCTTAAACAAAGCATACGAATGGGGGAATTCATGCAAACGGCAAAACAGACGAACACAGTACTTTTAGTCCAGACAGATGGGTCTGTCACACCCCACCTAACACCCTGACTTCCACACCCAACAAGAACGATTAAGACGCAACACAAAATCACTAAGATGGATATGGTATGTAACCAAAGATGACCAGACTCAAAACCTCCTGGCATCAACACCAGACAGGGTACCCCACCCCCCTCCCACTCCTATTCTGTACCCCCTCCCCAACCCTTAGACCTAGAACAGTAACTAAGGAAATGGACAGACTAATATCTTGTAAACAAAAGATCGCTATTGTAACTAGAGAAGAAACAGTATTAGAATGATCTCTATGTAACAAACAGCATAACTATGGTCTACGAACTCTGTAATACTAACCCCATTCCCAAGTTTTCTTCTGTATCCAACCCCCGCTGAAAATGTAAAATTTAAAAAATAAAGAATTTAAAAAAAAAATAGTGTGCTTACAGCGCAGTTGTAAAAATTCTAATTTTCTGGGTGCTAATCGGCTAAATAGTAAATTTTGGGGCCTTTTCTGATATCTGAGAGTCAAATAGAAGCGTCTAATAGTGCGCTTACAGCGCAGTTGTAAACATTCTTATTTTCTGGGTGCAAAACTGCTAAATAGTACATTTTGGGGCCTGCTCTTCATATCTGAGAGTCAAACAGAAGCGTCTAATAGTGCACTTACAGCGCAGTTGTAAAAATTTGAATTGTTTTGCTGCTAATCTGCTAAATAGTACATTTTGGGGCCTGCCCTTCATATCTGAAAGTCAAATAGAAGCGTCTAATAGTGTGTTTACAGCGCAGTTGTAAACATTCTAATTTTCTGGGTGCTAAACTGCTAAATTGTACAGTTTGGGGCCTGCTCTTCATATCTGACAGTCAAATAGATGCGTCAAATAGTGCGCTTACAGCACAGTTGTAAACATTCTAATTGTTTTGCTGCTAAACTGCTAAATAGTACACTTTGGGTTGTGCTCTTCATATCTGAGAGTCAAGTCAAAGCTACAAATAGTGCGCTTACAGAGAAGTTGTAAAAATTATTATTTTCTTGGTGCTAATCTGCTAAATAGTACATTTTGGGCGTGCTCTTCATATCTGAGAGTCAAATAGAAGCGTCAAATAGTGCGCTTGCAGCACAGTTGTAAACATACTAATTGTTTTGCTGCTAAACTGTTAAATAGTACATTTTGGGGCATGCTCTTCATGTCTGAGAGTCAAATAGAGGCGTCAAATACCAATATAACAATATTGTAATTCGGGGGCAATACCCTCACAAGTCAAACTGAGAGGTCAGTTTATAGGGAAAACTGTTGCCTGGATACAATTCTAAAACAATTTCCATATGTTCTTTGCAGACTTTACATGCTGGAAAAACACAGGTGCCAACTGCTGTGGCTTTCTGCAGTTTGCAGACTGGCAATGAGAGCAGGGTTGAGGAGTGGGTGGAAGATGATGTGGAGGATGATGAGGTCCTAGACCCCACATGGAATCAAGGTCATGCGAGTGACGTGTGCAGTTTGGAGGAAGAGGCTCTGGTCGCACAAAGGCACCAGTACAGCATAAGAGGGAGCAGGGTGCAAAAGTGGAGCGGCCGTCCCCTAGCGCTCGTTGGCATGTATTATCTTTAGAATTCCCACAGTTATCCAAGTAACAGATGGAGCGATAAAATGAACCATAACAGATTTAACTAGCCATTCGCAGTTTCACAGTCCGGTGACCGGGATCCAGACACTGTCTGGGCGGCGGTCGGACGACTGGGACCCAGTATGCCTGATGTTGAAGTTAGGAGCCACAGTGTGGAATGGATTAGCAGGGTCTGGCGCAGGGTAACCGCATGCCCCCTGGTGTTGAGCACCAGCGTTTGTGCTGCCACATACCAGGACCCTGATGCAGCTTCAGTAAAAAGAGTACTGGATACCAGAAGCTATCACCAGACTAATCCGCAACTTGGAACAGGATGCGACATTCACTGTAGCGGCTTTCTGCATTCTCACCCTGCTGCTGCTCGCCTGTCTGCACTGCAGCGTAACTTTGGCCTTCCCGCTCACCGCCTCATATGCGATGTGCCCACAAGGTGGAACTCCACCTTGCACATGCTGGAGAGACTGTGCGAGCAACAGCAGGCGATAGTGGAGTTTCATCTGCAGCACGCACGGGTCAGTCGCTCTGCACCATACTTGCCCTCCAATTGATCAGAGTTAAAGGATTTCAAGTGAACTCATTACAATTAAAGGGCCTCTAAAGAATCCTGTATTGTTATTTGTCGTCGGGAGGGGGTCATTTGCGTGCCTGCTGCCTTCCTTGCATGTGGTAGCCGTTTGTCAGAGTCCCTGTACAGAATCGAATACTGATTCCCTGTTACCAGTGGTCACCATGGTAGGCACAGTAAATGGCATCGAAAGTTGATATGGATTGACATACGAATGCGTCGTCGCCTTGTCGTTTGGTAGCACATTGAAAAAGTGTGGACCGTCTGTGCGCGCGTTCGGCATTCTCAGCCTGCTGCTCGCCTGTCTACGCTGCAGCATAACTTTGGACTTCCCGCTCACCACCTCATGAGATTGTGCGAGCAGCAGCAGGCGATAGTGGAGTTTCAGATGCAGCACGCACAGGTCAGTCGCTCTGCCGAACAGTTTTCTTTTTTTATATTTTCCAATATTTTGGGGGCTACGCCAGTTAAAAAAATATATATATATATATATAAAACAGTGTTGGCTACCTCCTCCTCCTCCACCGCTGCTTCCACCTACACCGCCGTGATCACCGCCTCCACAACCTATGAGTCACTTAGTATAAACTATGTACACAATAGCAGAGGCTTGTGAAGGCCTTTTCTCCATGAATCAGGAGTTGAGCATTTCTCCATGCATCAGGACTGCAAGAAATGCACTGCAGGCCGCAAATGTCTCTTTTGTTATATGTCCCAATATTTTGGGGGCTACCCCAATTAAAAAAAAAAAAAATATATATATATATATATATAAAAAACAGTAAACTATGTACACAATAGCAGATGCTTGTGAAGGCATTTTCTCCATGCATCAGGAGTTGAGCTCAGTTTGAACAATGAAAGAGAATACCCTGCACTCCAACCCTCTCTCAAATTCTGTTGATCCTCCTGACAGCCATGCTTTAGATTTTGATTTATGTTCTTCCAAAGCTAAAATCAAAGATTCCATCTAGTGCTAATTTATGGCTCAGCTGTATTTTAAATTGTTATGTTATTTTAAGTGATTTCCCTATCCACATTTGTTTGCAGGGCACTTGTCCTACTCTTACCCCGATTTTACTTCCTTCTGCAGCTCTCTAACCCTTTCCAGGACTTTTTTAGAGGCATTTTTGTGCCCAAAAGTGTGGGTCCCCATTGACTTCAATAGGGTTCGGGGTCAAGTTCGGGGTGAAATTCGAGCCCGAACCCGGACTTTCTTTCAAAGTTCATCCGAACCTGCCGGACCTGAACATCCGCTCAAACCTATTAATGAGCCATTAACAATGATCACAATAACATTGTTCTGATACCTTTTGACAGAACATTTGACATTGGTATTGAAAAATGTCCCTACACCACATGCTAACCAGGCAAACTTAGGAGATCACAATCACTCTGAAAAAGAGTTATCAGCACAATACCAAGAACCATTTACCATTATCAAATTATACAAGCAAAAGGACTTGATAAATCACCAAAAATAATTTTCAGCTAACTAACCAAAAATGGTTTTGCACAGGAGCAGAAAACAATGCAAACACCATTTCTCAAGTTTATTATGTTTGAAATCATTATATGAACATTTCTTGGTTGATCAATGAAAGAAAATAAATTATAAATAAGCACTGCTACAACAATATAATGCAATTATAATAATTATAATCCACACATACATATATTTTACTCAAAATTTATGATTTGGAAAACAACAGATTAAGGGAACACGTCACCTATAATCACCACTAGTTTGTGATATAATTGAAAATCTTGCAATATCACCATTTTGTTTGTTGTTAAAATAATACTATACTGATAGGAATACAAAAGTGTATTTAAAAACACTACAGTGTATCCCCATGAAAGGGTTAAAACCCCCCTTTCATTTACTTACCTGATTCCAACACTGAGGTCCCTCTCTGATGGATCAGGATCCTCATCCAGTGATGTCATCGATGGGGAGACCTAATGTGAATGTGCTGAGAGCATTCCTATGAGGTTAGCCTTCCTATGAGGTTTTTAAAGATGCTGGACATCCTCATCCAGTAAGTATAAGGACATCCAGTGTTGTTTCAAGGACTAAATCTCTGTGAAACACCAGGAAGTGTCTCTCAGACAGCCATGAGAGATGGAGTAAACCCCAGCAATAAAATTATTTCAGATTCTCAGAAACTGCAATAATTAACATTGCCGGGTTTAGGGGACAAGGGCACTGCTCCCAGACCACTTCAATGAGACTGGGTGACTATAATGTCCCTTTAATCTTGCAATTTAATTAATGATGATGGCAGAGTTTCAGTCAATCATTTTTCTACGTTAAAGGACCACTATAGTGCCAGGAAAACATACTCGTTTTCCTGGCACTATAGTGCCCTGAGGGTGCCCCCACCCTCAGGGTCCCACTCCCGCCCGGCTCTGGAAGGGGGAAAGGGGTTTACCTTACCTTTTTCCAGCGCTGGGCGGGGAGCTCTCCTCCTCCGATCCTCCTCCGTTCCGCCCCGCCGGCTGAATGCGCACGCGCGGCAGGAGCTGCGCGCGCATTCAGCCGGTCTCATAGGAAAGCATTTACAATGCTTTCCTATGGACGCTGGCATGCTCTCACTGTGAAAATCACAGTGAGAAGCATAGCGCCTCTAGTGGCTGTCAGTGAGACAGCCACTAAAGGATTAGGGGGAAGGCTTAACCCATTCATAAACATAGCAGTTTCTCTGAAACTGCTATGTTTATAAAAAAATGGGTTAACCCTAGAATGACCTGGCACCCAGACCACTTCATTAAGATGAAGTGGTCTGAGTGCCTAGAGTGGTCCTTTAAGCAGCATTATCATTGAATTGCTGAAAACAATTTGATTTTACCATCATTTAAACACCAGCACTTGATAGAAAACATGGTCTATATGTCTGTAAAAAAATATAATACAAAAAAATCTCAAATGACAACATGTTTTAAAAGATTAAAGTCTGAAAAATATTTTAGTAATACCTTATGGCAATGTTTCTCAACCTTTTACAGAGAAGTACCGTTGCTAAACAAATTCCAAAGCCTTGCTAAAGTAACTTTACATAGTTACATAGTTACATAGCTGAAAAGAGACTTGAGTCCATCAAGTTCAGTCTTCCTCACATATGTTTTTGCTGTTGATCAAAAAGAAGGGAAAAAAAACCGATCCTGAAGCGCTTCCAATTTTGCAACAAATTAGGAAAATTTCTGTTGATTCAAATTCCAAATGAAATGTGTAGTCCAGGGCCGTCTTTAGCGCGGGGCAAATGGGGCAGCTGCCCCGGGCCCAGTTGCTCCTGGGGGCCCCCAGAGCAGCTGCCCTGTGGGCCCCGCGATTTGCGCAGCCGCATCATCCCACACGCTAAAGAGGGCCCCCGGGTGGCCCATGCGATAAGGGCCACCTGGTGGGCATTTGTCAGCAGGGGCCCGGTCGGGCGCTGTGACGCTTAAACAGCGCGACCAGGCCCCTTCCTGTTTGGCAGCCGGCTGGGAGGAAGTGAGTGCCGCGCGTCACTTCCTCCTACAGGAGATCAGAGCCGCGCGGGAGGAGGAAGGCAGGGAGGAGAGGAGTTTCAGAGGAGAACTCCCAACTGCCTCAGCCTGCCACTGGACCCCAGGGAAACCACTCTCCAGAAAAGGTAAGGGTGGTTGGAGGGTGGCTAAATGTATGTCAGTATGTCTGTGCGTGTCAGTATGTCTGTCAGTGTGTCAGACAGTATGTCTGTCAGTGTGTGTGTCAGTATGTCTGTCTGTCTGTATGTTAGTATGTCTGTGTGTGTGTGTCAGTATGTCTGTCTGTGTGTATGTCAGCATGCCTGTGTGTGTGTCAGTATGTCTGTGTGGCAGTATGTATGTGTGTGTGTTATGTCAGTATGCCTGTGTGTGTGTGTCAGCATGCCTGTGTGTGTGTCAGTATGTCTGTGTGGCAGTATGTCTGTGTGTGTCAGTATGTCAGTATGCCTGTATGTGTGTCTGTCAGCATGTCTGTGTGTGTGGTCAAAATTATGTCAGTGTATGTGTGTCTGTGTGTCAGTATGTCTGTCTGTGTGTATGTCAGTATGCCTGTGTGTGTCAAATCTGTCTGTGTGCATGTGTCAAATATCTGTCTGTGTGTGTCAGTATGTCTGTGTGTGTGGCAGTATGTCTGTCTGTGTATGTCAGTATGTCTGTCTGTGTGTGTGTCAGTATGTCTGTGTGTGTGTGTCAGTATGTCTGTGTGTGTATGTCAGTATGTCTGTCTGTGTGTGTGTCCGTATGTCTGTCTTTGTGTGTGTCACTATGTCTGTCTTTGTGTGTGTCACTATGTCTGTCTGTGTCAGTGTGTGTATATCAGTATGCCTGTGTGTGTCAGCATGTCTGTGTGTGTGTCAATACTTCTCTCAGTGTATGTGTGTGTGTCAGTATTTCTGTCATTGTATGTGTCTGTGTGTCAGTATATCTGTCAGTGTATGTGTCTGTGTGTATGTATGTGTGTGTCAGTATGTCTGAATGTGTGTCAATATGCCTGCCAATATATATTTGTGTGTCAGTGTATGTGTGTGTCAGTATGTATCTGTGAATGTTTTAATATGTCTGTCTGTGTGTATGTGTCAGTATGTCAGTGTGATTGGGGGTTGGGCATAATTGGGGGCGAGGGGGATTGGGAGGGTCGCAGGGCCCAGGGGGCCCAACAAAATTCTTTGCCCAGGGTCCTATTCATATTATAGATGGCCCTGGTGTAGTCATTTCGGTTTCTCATATAGTGGAGGACAAGCCTGATTAAAGGTGATAAAGAATATTGTTAAAATAAATATGATATAATGTGAATAGTGTGTATGTAAGGAGGAGTGTATGAACTATTGATCTAAAGTATAAAAGACATAAATTGAAAATATAATAAACACAAACAATTACACACAGAGAACACTGACACACACACATTTATACCTTTGGTCACTGACACACACATATTTACAGTCAGGACACTGACACTCACTGACTCATCAACAGGCACCCTGTCACTGATTTGACACACACTAACAGACATACTTACTGAAACACACACATACATTCACTGACAGACAGACAGACACACACTCACACACACACACACACTCACTGACAGACACACACACTCCCTGATTTGACACACAATAGCAGACCCACTTATGACACACACGCTAACTGATTTGAAGCACACTGACAGACACAAACACATTCTTTCACGCACTCACAAATTATGTTTTTTTTTTTATTATTTTTATTTAAGCCCACCTAGTCTCCTTACCTTTGGGAGACATAGGATGGATTCTTTCCCTGGGTTCTA